TACTATTTTGTACTCTCTTTAAAAAATAAAAAAATTAAATTATCTTCAGCACAAAATAAGAACCATAAATAATAAAAGGATTAGAAAAGATAAATAAAAGGGTTGTTGATCCAAATTTTATGACCAAAGAGAAAGCAGACTATTAACAGATGAGAACTAAAAAGGCTCAGGAGAGTTGCCAGAGAGACCTCAATATATAAAAACTAATAGTATTCTTCCTTCAAAGGTAATGAGGAGCTAGCAATGTAGCTCAGAAATAGAATGGCTGTTTAACATATATAAAGCTCCACCTAGCTGTGCTAAAAAATAAAAACTGCAAAGCAGAAAGTAATGCTCACAAAACAAAAATATAAGTATCTTAAAGTGAAATGAGAAAATACATGAAGACCTGCAAAAAAATTTGAGCAATTTCATAGGACAAAAATGGACGTGATTAAGTAGAAATAAATAGTATTTAACAAGTAGAACAACTGAACACTGTCATGCTTATCCATTCCAAATTAAAGTCATTGCAGAGGTGACATAACAGGGCACAAAGAAAAATAATACCATATTTTATACCAGTAGTTATTGTACTCTAACCCCTGCTCATACCAAGGGCAGAACTTCCCTGATTATAGAGCCAACTCTGACATACCACTCTGCTGGAAAGCAAAGCCAACAGGGCCACTTACTCCTGCTAATATTCTTATCTCCTAAATTTCCCCAATGAATGCTGCTCCAGCAAGCCTAGAGTCTGGCATTTTACCCTGTTTCCAGAATAGATATACACTATAAATAAACCTTAAATATATTGATAAAAACTTCTAATACTATCAAAAAAACTAGAATTTAGTAATAAAAAAAGACTTTTGTACACTCGGTACTGCCTGAAATCTATACATAAATGTAATTTCAATTCTCAAAGGATAAACATGATTTAATGTATACTAAGTGTATTTTTAATTCCAACCTGCAAGGTCTGTAAGCGTTTATAAAGTGGTAATTCATCTACTTCTAGAATAAACCTTTGTACTGCCATGTCTAGCTTCTGCTGCACTTCATTCCTTTTGGCAATCAAAATATTCCCTTCATTCTGGAAGGAAAAAACAATAACCACCATTAATACATCAGGTGTTTTTTACACATTTACCCATAGTTACAATAATGAGTGACTTCTAAATCTTAATATTATATCCTACAAATATGGTAGTATAAATTTAGAGCAAATATTTCTTGAAATCACCAAGATGACAAAGAATTTTCTTTTGTTAAAATAAAACATTTAAATTCAACAATCCTGCCCTGCTATTTTACCCAATATTCCCACAATGAATTTTATGAAGAAAATTATACAAATTTCTATTATTATACACTAAAGACTGCCTTCCTCCAATACCCATTCCATTCTCATCTCATCTACTCAACTTTATTTTTTTATATTTTTATTTGTTGGGTAGCAGGAATCAAACACAGGATCTTGCACTTGCCAGGCAGGTCCTTTCTACTCAACTTTCAAGATTTAGTTAACACATTCAAATCAGAGTTGTCTGGCAGCAAGAGATATGAATTATGGCCTTGTGTGAACTGCTTACACTCCCCCAAGATAAAATCTTTAACTTGAACAAAAAAATCCCTAGGCGTTTTGATAGTAGGTGTGCAAAAAATATCTAAAAATCCTATACATTATTCCTCCTATTGCATTTACCATACTGTATTGAAACTGCCGATATATCTATCCCATAATCTCAGCAAAACAGAAGGGATGTCATTAAAAATGTTTCTGTAGGGCCAGGGAGATAGCTCTGTGGTCTAAGCACCTGCTTGGTAAACATAAGCACCTGGGTTGGATCCCTGGTACCACATGCCATGCCAGCCCTGCACTGAGCCAGCCACTGAAACCAGGCATGGTGGAACACACCTGTAATCCCAGCACTGGTGAGGCTGAGACAGGAGGATCACTATGAGTCTGAGCTGCTAGCAAGACCCTGTACCAAATAAACAATCTTTTTAAAAAATGTTTCTATCACTTATAGCAATATCTGGTATACAACCTTGAAAGCTTAAATTTTTGAATACTTTTTCTTGCATATGTTCAATACTGTTTTCTAAGTATAAATAAAAAGAAAATCTCTTTTAAGGCTTATGTCTTTCATCTAAAAAAAAAACACTTGGTAATCAGAGTAAGAATATGTAAAATAAAAGTAAAAATTCAAAGACTCAAGTACAAAAAAGAAAAAAAATGAAAACTTTATTTGAATGGTGATTATCATTATGTATTCATCCCATAACCTACTCTCCAGACTATCAAATGAACTCTTTTTTTCCTAGTACTGGGGACTAAATCCAGAGCTTCATCTATACTAGGCAAATGTTCTACTGAGCTATATCCTAGCCCTTTTTTATTTTTGAGACAGGTTTTTACTTTTTGAGACTAGGTTGCCCAGGCTAGCCTTGAATTTGTGATCCTCCTCTTCAGCCTCCAAAATACCTGGAATGCAGTCATGTGCCACTTCGTCCAGCTGCCACATGAACTTTTAAGTCTTAAAACATCAACAGTGGTAGAAATAAGTATTTGGGTTTTTAAAAAAATGTTACAAAACATTTACAATACTAAATTACCAAGCCCTACATCTACATTAAGCATCTCCCTCTCTCTGTCTTGTCCCTCTCTCTCTCCCCAGCCCATGCTCAAATCACAAAAACAAGGCCATAAAAAAGCAATTTCCACCTTTTTATCTTATTACATAAAAATATATTAAGAAGCATTTTCATATTCACCCATGGTTTAAGTGGAAAGAAAATATACTCTGTAATCAGACATTCCTGAGTTCAAATTCCATATTAAGATTTAGAACTGTACATTCTTGAGCAATTCCCTTTACTGTTATGAGACTATTCCCTTACAACAAAGAAGCAAAAATGCCCATTTAAAAGTTAGTGTAAGATGTATCTGCATCTTCTAATCTGTTCCATTGATCCTTGAATCTATTTTTTTGCCAATACCATGCTGATTTTATCACTGTAGCCTTACAGTATAATTTCAAGTCAGGGATTGTAATGCCTCCTGCCTTGCTGTTGTTGCCCAATATTGCCTCTGCTATTCTAGGTCTTTTCTGGTTCCAAATAAATTTTAGAAATGTTTTCTCTAGATCTATGAGGTATGTTGGTGGTTATTTTGATAGGAAAAAAAGGCAGAAGAAAAGCATGCAATTTAAACCTAAAAAAAAAAAAGAAAAAAAGAAAAGCATGCAAGTATATATACAGGATGGCTGAGGTAACTGTACTAAAAATCTCCATCAGTTTTTGAAAATAGTTAATGTGTAGAATTTTCACCTTGACTAACTCTGTGTGCTGATATCTGGGATCTAAACAACTACATCAAGGACAGCATTGTGTAATACAAAAACCATGCTTGAATACCAGACATCTTGGTCTTCTACATGTGTACCATTTCCAATGTCCTGTCAATTATTACTATACTCTTCAAAATATCTTTTAAAAAGGTAAAAAAGCAAGTTAAGAGTCAAGAACAAAAATTTAAGGTTTCCTGAAAGCAAGCAGAAATATGAAATCATATGTCCAATCTTACATAACTGTAGCTGTTAATCTGATCAACAGATTTGATAAAAATATGCTGTATCAACCATTATTAATCAGCTATTCTTGTTATGAAAATCTGTAACATATGTATTGTTGTAAGTTATCCTGTTTCTTTGTTTCAGATTTTTGTTCTTGCTTTTGTTTTTACTTTTCAAAATAATACTAAATTTTTAAAAAGTGTAAGAGTAAGTTTCAAATGTATCTATAATATTGCCATATTTGACAGAAATTCAAAATGATTCATTCTATCACTTTTTACATTCATAATAAAAAACGAGCCATTATCAAATACACAAAATAACCCAAGTCTAATTCCTTCTCCAAATTAAACATTCTTTGTATTTCTAAGAGCCTATTTATCATGCTTACACATTCAACTGGTCTATTTAGCCATGAATAGGAAGAGTTTCAGAGTATGAACCACAGAAGCAAATAACACCAGTATTTACAGTGACACAATCTAAACAAAAATAGCCACAGAAAACTATGGTGGTTGTAGGAAAAACTTTTACAAGGGAGTCAAGGAGTTCTATTCAACTCAATATAGTAACTACAGAAAATAAGAAGTAAATATACTTATACCTAAAGAATTTATACAAAATATTTCAGTCCTCATACCTCTCACCACACAAACAGCTACTTTTCAATGTTAGATGGCTTGGACAGTATTTAATATTATTCAAGAGTTCAATACTGTAATAAATCACTCACACTGAAAGATTTGCATTAGCAAGTATGGAAGCCATCCTCATTCACAAGCATCATATGAGCCCCGCAAATGTCAGTATGTCTTATAATAACTCCCTAAGTTTAGCTCTCAGGACCTCTCAAGAGGATGCTTGAAAGAAGTTCCATCAAAAATCTATACTTTATGTGTCATCCCAGCCTAGACACAATTTACAAATCGGAGTTATACCAATCTTGCCTAATAACATAGTAGAAATATTTTATCAGACTTCCAATGAAATTGACAGTTAACCAAAAATCAATAGTACACAAAAAAAAGATTTGGTTAATCATTTATTCATAATCACCAATTATGACACTTTTTATAAGGTAGCATTTATAGCATATGCATGTTAATATGTTGATGATGCAAATAAAACATGCATATACATTAAAATGAAGCATTTATTTGAAGCAAATAAGCTATCCTCATAGTATCAGCAGAACTTCTGCTTTCTCAATACTATTTCTTTATCTTCAACAGATAAAAAACATAATAGAGAAAATTCTCAACCCACCACATTATCACATGTTTGGATCTCCTCCTGAGCCAGCTTGTATTCTGCCCAAATTTTCTCTAATTCATTCAAAGAAGCTAGAGTAGTAACACACCCTTCATCCAACATTTTTATAGCATCTGAAAGGTCATTCCCAAAGCGAACATTGATGTTGACATGCCTATTTTTTTAGAAAAAGATCAAAAAATTAAAATGCTTCTGCAAGAAAAACTTATACATACAATAGTTGTCTAAAAGTTATTTGCAATACACACTATAAAAAGACATTTTTTGAAACTTTACCTAAAATCATTGTATTTTTAACATGTTCCCACTGGCTTAAGTCACTGGTAGTACATGCATGACTGCCTCACTGGGAAGCTTGACAAATAACTCTAATCACTTTTATTGGTGTTTTTACTAGTAAAATTAATAAACAGTCTGTAAATTAACCAATTCTAATTAGTTGAATGAATCTAATTTCAGCCTAAGTGTAAGTATTGATACAATTCATACTGATTAAAGAATTACAACAATCAACAAACATTTCATTAGGTTAAAAAATTTATATTGTGAATTTCTTTACAACATTTTATACATAATGGCAGTTGACTTGTGTAGAGCACACAAAACATATGTTGGGGTTTTTTGCAGCCAGAGAACCACCCATCTTTTTTTTTTAATTTTTACTAGGACATACTTGCCATGCATAAAGATTCATTCATCATAATTTGTACCTGTACATATTATGTCTTAATTTTTCTCCAATTCCCCTCCCTTCTCTTCAACCTGTCCTTCTCTCCCCATTTACAGAAGCTTTGTTTCCATTTTTCTCTTTTTTTAATCTCTTTTCCATTCTTTCCCCTACCCTGCCCTCCTCCCTTGTTCCCCTTCACATCTGAACATGTTTTTCCTACTTCCCAATATTCATCCTCCACTTGGCTCCTTATATACCCTTTGGGTTTCTCACTCAAAGTAAATAATGCATTATTTAAATATGTGGGTTTTATTTCACTTCAAATTATGGTCTTACGCATCCATTTACCTAAAAATGACTCAAATCTATCCTTCTTTATAGCAGAGTAGTGCTTCATTGTATATAAATACTGTATCTTCTCTATCCAATCATCTGCTGATGAGCATCTGAGCTGTTTCCAAGATTTAGCTATTATAAATTGGCAATACCCACTTTGTAAGATAAACATTTTCTGAACTGAGTTTCTCACTAATCCTAAATAAGCTTCTATAGAGTGAAGTTTTTTTCAAAAAACTTATGTCTGTGGCATTTTGTCACAGGTTAAAGAGTTTATCAAAAATTAATTCTACTGGGGCTGGGGGATATAGCTCAATGGCATAAGCGCCTACCTGGCAAACACAAGGTCCTCAGTTCAATCCCTGGTACCACAAAAA